TGCTATGCGAGGTATATTTTCTAATAAATGTGACCACGCTAAAAACAGCATTTAATCATGTAAATAAGACTTAAAAAATATAGACCTTTAAAAAAAATAGTTTGGCAGACGTTTTTTTGACAAACAAAACAAGGGTTGTGAAATTCTGACAAATATTTTTTATTTTAATCAACATTTTACTTACAATCATTTTACTGTATTTTGTTAACATGTTATAACACTGCATCTATAATATTCATAAAGTGTACGTTCAACATTTTTGTAATAAGGCAAATGAAAGCACAATAGTTTTTTTAAATAAATGGTACTTGGAAACTTAAATCTTTGTCACAAAAAAAAAGCGTCATTAACATGATTTTTTTTTTTCCAACAAGTAATATTCTCTGTTTGTAATACTTTTTATTTTTGTTGAATTTTTTAAAAGAAAAATATCATTTTTATTTGCAAAGCCATATTTTTATGAAATAAAATTAACATATTTTAATTCATTTGTATAAATGTCGATAAAAGATAAAATAAATTTATGTTGAATGATAATGAAAAATGCAATATTAAATTCAATCATTTAATATTAACAAACAGAAAAAAATTGAAACAAAATGGACATTCCACAAAATGTACATTAACTAAACAACACTTCTAGTTTATTTGTATTTCTCAATTAGTAAATCAAACTTGTTGTGGCAGTAATTTATTTAATTGCGGTAGTTTTTAAAAGTTAAAATAAATATTTATATATATATATATATATATATATATATATATTTATATATATATTTATATATACATATATGTATATGGACAATTGCACAGTCAACTTTTAGCAAATGAATATTGATATGGACACATTAATATTCATTTAAAGTTTATTCAAAATATACCTTTAGTTCTCAAATCAAAGTCATTTTTATGCTTCCAAAAGTTACAGTTTTTTCATTGTCACAAGATAAAAAAAAAGTGTCATTGTAAAATGTTATTTTAACAATGAATTTATTAGCATAAGTCAGATTAATTTAGTTTAAAAATGGAGCATGACATGTTCAATTTGCTTTTGGTTAGATTTTTTACTTGGATTTTATAACATTTGTTCCAAAAAAATAACAAAAGAACTTTTGCAACTTTGATGTAATAAAAACATGAGAAAGTTTTGTTTCATCTAAAATTTAATTTAAAAAACTTAAATTTTTTATTATTTACATGTGAAAGAATATGTTTTAATATTTAAAGTATTGAATAACAATGATTAGCTAAAGCGCATTTTAATTTTAAATTTGTGCACCATAAGTTAAAACTACATTTACTGAAGTTCTGGTGCTTTTTTGTAAAGTTTTTGTTGCTTACCAAATGAACACTTAGATTTTTACGTCATTCTTATTAGGCTATTACTTTTGTTTTAGTATAACAAATAGCTTGTAAATGCAATTAAAGGGGTCATCCATAAAGTACGTCACCCTGTATTTGTCAATTTAGAACCTCCCGTCACAAATAATCACATATTACTGCTCTCCCTTATAAAAAACCGCTCTCGCTTAAAAAGAACCCCTCTAAAAAAAAGAACCCCTCCTAAACTTGGATAAAAGTTTTTACTTCAAAAATATTTTTAATGATTTAAATGTAAATACATTTGTTAAAAGTGCAGTATTTAAAAAATTTAACCTAATGAAAATGAGGCAATAAGCATAAACATAAAATAAACATTAACATAAGAAGTGTGAGTAAAATGTTTGACAAACCAAAAGATTTTTTTATTTAAATAACTTGGTATATATTAATAAAGTTTTCATATTAAAGTAATTTTTTAAAGTTGCTCTTGGTCTTGCAAAAAAAAAAACTGTTATTGATTTCATAACATCAATCATATATTTTATATATACTAGATATCTAATTTTGATCCAAAAAGTGTTTATTAATACATAACAATACATATCAAAAGATTGAGTAACCTTGGCAGCTGACTTTGGATTGCACTAATGGTTTCCATGAGGGGTCAAATAATTCAAGAAGACGTAAAGTAGAGGACTAAGTAAAGTTGCCATTCATTAATATAGAAATGTCAAAAATATAGAAAACCAATATCAAAATCAAAAATAATAAAAATCAAAAATTATAAAAATAAAATATTGCAATATTTTTTTTAACTGAGTTTGAATTAAAGTTGATCAGCGACGGTAGAGATCAAGATTAGAGGCTTTTATTTTAAGCCGCCTTCTTCTAATTAGAAATGGCTTCCACAATGTTAACTATAATATATATATATATATTTTTTTTTCCAAATGGCGGATTAAAGTTGTAAACAAAAAAAGCAGCTTCACTTTTTATCCAATAACATCCTGCAAGTTACACGTCTAGTGTTTATATTAGTGATGTACCGATTAATCGGTATCAGCATCGGCTAAATTGGTCATTTTTTGCACAATCAGTATCGGCCTTTTTTACCGATTTTCAAACCGATGGCATTTTGATATTTTTATCCTGCATTATTTTTTTGTGCATTATTATAATAATTAAATAATAAATAAACTAAACTTTGTGCATTACTTAGAATTTTTTGAATAAATTTTTATTTTGACTTTGTTTACAGGCAAAAGCTTTAAAAGTAACCTATTTAAACATTGTTATCTATATATTTTTAATACTTTTTCACTCCCAATAAGGTTTCAAGCAACCACACCAAGTTGGGAGTTGCTAGAAAAAAAGAGTAGAGTTATAGAGCAATGAAGTGGTTGACAGAAGATTTAAAAAGTTGTATGAGTCAGGAAAACATGAAGATGGGGCAGAGTTCCAAAGGGTTGATGTGCGTGGAAATAAGCTAGACAAATAAACGTTTTTGGGGCATGAAGAGACAGATACAGTCAAAGAATGAGACTTTAATGTCAAGTCAAGCAAGAATGAGTTTTGATGGATGGAACTAAAGATGAAAACTCCTTTGAGCAGCAACCATGATAATATCTGTAGAAAAGAGAAAGAGATGCAACTTTACGATGATGGCAAAGAAGCTCAAGCTTTGCAGATAAACTGGGTCCAACTCTGTTTACAATGCGTTTTATAAACCTTATCTTGAAGAGAAAGAGCATCATTAGAAGAACCAGCCCAAATATGATAACAGTATTCCATACAGGGACGAATAAGAGATTTGCAGAGGTAGGGCATGGAATCAGGAGAGAGAAAATGGTGAGCATGATAAAAAGAAGCAGCCTCAGCAGATGCTAATTTAGCAATCGATTGTATATATCGTTTCCATGAAAAGTCAGTAGTAAATGATAATCCAAGAAGATGTAAAGAAGTGGAATCAGTGAGAGGGTTGCCGTTCATCAATAGAGGAATGTCGACAATACTACAATAGTTATTTGTCTGACAGTAAGTTATTTGACTCAAGATGGAATGTGAGAAATTTGTTTATCAAAGACTCTAAGACCTTGCTAATAACAGAAAGAAGATTGATTGGACAATAATTGGAGGGGTCAGTAAGTTTACTAGAGTGTTTAAAAATTAGAACAACAGATGCCATTTTCCAGCAGGCAGGAAAACAAGATTCAGTCAAGCACTTATTAAATAGTTTAGAGAAAATTGAAAAGAGTTCTAAAGAACAATTTTGTAAGACTGTGACAGGAATGTTGTCTGGACCACAAGCCATAGAAGAGTTTAATCGAGATATGACTATGAGTAATGGAGGCTGAAATGATTCAAATGTCTAACAACATTAGGTTAACTTGTTTAATTAGAATGAAAGGAAGAGTATGGCCATAAGATTCGAAAGCCAGATTAGAAGAAAATTTTTTTGCAAATAGTTCAGCCTTATTTCATGAATTTAAGTATAGCCAAGTATCAAGTATATTTCTGAATTTATAATTTTTTTATTTCAATTCACCTCCCTTCAATTGAAGACTCTACTTTAGTTATGGTTACAACCCATTTTCAACTTTAGAACTCAGAAACACAAACCTTGATGAACAATGTCGCTGCGTGTAGAAACAAGTTAAGCGCTGTATTACCAGGGACGTGGTGGGGATCCAACATTAAAAATTAAAATAACTCCAAAAAACAATTTCTTTATCTAAAAATAATTTATGTCTAAACAACATATGATTGTTGTTTAGATATCTGAATTACTAATAAATTAATAAAGAATTCTTAGTAAACTGCATATGCATATTTTCTTTTTTTTAAAATTAAAATAAAAAGTGTTCCTCTAAAATTGTATTTATTATTTTGAAAGTTTTTTTTTCATAGTTAAAAAAAATTAAAATATTTTTTTAACTGAGTTTTTCTAATATCTTTTAAAAAAAATTATTTGGCTTTGATTTGAGTCCAAGTACTTGTTTACCAATACCAATTTAAAGTTGTATGGTTTTATATTTTCAAATTTTTAATAATTAGTTAATTCATCGGTATCAGCCTTTTCCTATTCATCAGCATCGGCCGAAAAAGTGATATCGGTACATCAATAGTTTATATATACATCATTGCAATTCTTTTGTTGTGTAACTCTAAAAAATCTAACTCTTAAAAATAAATATAAAAAATCCATAATAATAATCGCTGGATAATATAAGTGATGCAACATAAGTTACACCACTTACATTATTGAGCGATTAAAATATACAGTATCAAAAAAACAAGTTTATTTTCCTTAGTCCGTCACATCTGATAAATTTTTATATTTTTTTAATTGGTGACTGAAACTGATTTTTAGTGGCATTTTAAGTAAAAGTTCACCCTTTTTTGGCCAGACTCAAAACTTTATTTATCAAAGCTTATTTTATTCTTCTGACTAACAGCTTTTATACAAAATAGCTAAAAATTTAATTTATAGTTTAAGTAGTTAAATAAAGTTATTGCGTGTGTCACATAATGGAATTTCATTGTATATTAATATATATATGTATGCGTGTATATATATATATATATATATATATATATATATATATATATATATATATATATATATATGTGCATGTATACATATTGCTAAAACATTTTTAAAATATTTTTAAAAATACCTGAAACAGTGTCATTTGTTGGACTGCCCTATAAAAAATAAATAAAGTTAAACTTGCATCTTAATATTCTCAAATGCTCAAGATGTAAATTTTATTAATAATATAATATATGCTAAAAAATGTTTGCAAATAAATGTTTACTATTCTATGCATTTAATTGTAAAGGTTATAAACCACTATACTATTGGAGAAAAATAATTAACTAATAACCAACTAAATCTTTCAAAATTAATCAGATTTATAATCAGAAACTTTCAAAGATTGTTGATCAAATTTTATTTGTAGATATTTAATTATTAGTAATTTATTTGTATTTGAAATAAACATAACATTTCAATTAAATCTATTTGTGAAATTGGATGTTGCTAGTAACTGCACAGTCTCTTTGAGACAAATTAGTGCTGATTTGGGATTGAAATATTCAAGATGGACAATAAACCGTGCAATTAACAATTTAGGAACTCTCAGATATGCAATAAAAAAATGCGGATTTCCAGCATCAACTAAAGTTCAAAAATGTATTTATCTTAAGGGCGAAGGACCACATGATTTTGAAAAATTAATGGCAAAAAATTGTGCAGTTTGATAAAAAAAAATTAAATCTTGATGGTCCAGATGGCTTCAATTATTACTGGCATAAAATAGAAAAAAGTAAGTAATTATTTAGGGTGTGTTTGATGATTTTGGAAAAAGTACAATTGGCTTTATTACTACTAAATTAAATGCTAAAGGATATAGAAATTTGCTGGATGATTATTTGAAGGATGTTATAAAAACATTTGGAAACACAAATTTTATTTTTGCGCAAGGTAATGCTTCAATGCATAGAACAAAGTCAAGTATCCCTTGGTTCACCAGCAAAAAAATTTAATTATTAGAACGGCCAGCTATTTTTGAGTAACAGGTTGATCTGAATTAGTTAAAAATTTTTACATATTTATTAGGAACCCTTTAAGTGTTCAAGGGCTTTAGGGTACCTCTAAAAATGTTTTTTGTTCAAAAAATTTTAAATCTAGTGTTATTTTTTTATAAAAACACATTTAGAACTCAGACAAGGTAAACTATAAAAATTACTGTTTTTCAATGCAACCTAATATGTATATTTAGGGTGGTCCATTTTAAACTTTTTTTTGAAATTTTAATCAGGGTTTTTATCAGTAATAACATTTGATCTAAAAACGCTAAATACAAAAAATTTTGACTTTAAAATGATTTTAAGATACAAAATATTGAAAGTTAAAATAATGGATTGTGCAGGTGTTGCACAACATTTTTATCGACTAGCTCCTCAGATAAGATTAACCACAATTAAGTAATCTCCTTGTCTGTAGTGGCCTTCTTGGCATTAGGGAGGTGAATTAGCATTAAAAAAAAGTGTTCTAGGTGTTGTTTAAAACATTTAATGATTTCTTCTGCACTTTCAAGGTCAATTGATTTAAATTTTCTCATTAAATAAAAGAAATGCAGGTCATTGCTTGTTGAAATAAAAAACTATTTTGATCATAAAGCCAGTCCCACACTCTAAGATCTTTTATATTCTTTTTAAGGTTATGAAATACTTCTTAAACCTTTCGAACAGCTGGACTTTTGATGATTTGTTTGGACCACAAATACCATTGGATATTCCTTTTTTAAAGAGCTCTGGACTATGATGTCTGTGTTCAAGTCAGAGTAAAGAACAACCAATTTGCTTCTCAGTTAGAATTGCAGCTCCATTGTATGCTCTACTGTTTGCATATGTTGTATCATAGACAAATGCAACAACAGATGCTTTTAATTACCATTAATCAACTAGGTTCATCACTGTACAATATTGTGTTTGACCAGATATGATCATTTTCTTTTACCAAACAGACAATCTGATTAGCACAGTGCTTCTTGTTAGACTTCATTGGAATACAAGCAGTAACCAAAAGTTTTCAATAATATCTTCAACTAGATGATTTGCAATAAGTCTTGCTATGAGTTTCTTTTCTAGGATTGTTTTCTCTCTCAAAAAGATATTTCTGCATTATAGCTCTATTCAATGTTAGCTCCTTTAAAAGGAAAAACTAATTCTTCTCATTTAAATCCAATGATTTAAACGAAAAAAACTTTTTAATGGCAATATTTTTGTTTATAGCAATAGCTGAAATATGTCTACACATGAGTATTTTATTTTAGACAACTTAGTCACTGCCATTTGCAAGTTTTTATATTAAATGTTGCGGAAAAAAGTTTCAATAACAAAGAAAGCAAAACTAACAAAATAGGAAATCAAAATAAACCCAAATAGATTAAAAAAAAAAAAAAAAAATTAATAATTTGTGTACTGTTTTTATTTTTGTTACTTTAGAGTGGTTTTTATTTTCAGCAACGAAATTTGATGAGGCAAAGCCAAAAAAACAGTTTTAAGTTGACATTAAAAAGAATGACATTAAAAAGAATGATGCCTATATTTTGTTTTTTTTAAAGAAGAAAGCAAAAATAAAAATTGTCATCTGCTTGTAAAATATAATTGTATAACTTTAATGCGAAAAGTATATAATGTCCCTATATAAAAAACGTCTATGTGATGCATGCGTATACTTTCATGTATAACTTTTTGTATTATATAACTATAGTTATTTGTACATAAGTATTTGTTTTTGAATGATACACATCTCATCAGATTTCTTATACCATTTAAACCTTTCAGTGTATTTTCTAAGGTGCATACACATATATACATAGTTTTTAAGCTTCAATTAGGCCATGTTGTCAACTTTATGCCTTAATTGTTTCATATTACCTCTTTTTTCCTGTACGTTTTTTATCCTCTACCTTTTTTTTTTATTTAAATTTATTTTTATTTTCTATTTTATTAATTTTGCTTTTGAAACAGTTTTTTCCGCTGATTAATATAAAAAAAGTTGCAAACTGCTGCGACAAAGTTGTCTAAAATAAAATACTCATGCATGGACATACAAGACCAAAAACCGCACACATGTTCTGGGAAGGCTTAAATAAATATTTTTTTCTCCTATGCTTCAGTAGATACATCATTTCCTAAACTTTTACTAGGTCTACCAACCTACTTTGGTATGGGAGTCATCGCCATATAAACAGTGTTAGTAACTATATGTTTAGATATATATTAAGCAGCATTAAAGGGATTAGAATAAGGTACATTAAAAACTTTAATAAGTTAAACTTATTAAAGTTGGGGCATGTTTATAAGAATTATTTTTGTCTCAAGATGATTAAGAACTTAAAACTTAAATTCCTTAAATGCAATTTCACAATATTAAATTTATAATGGAACAAAAGTATTGAGACTTCTAAAAATTACTTAATATTAAATGCAATGGCCAAAAGGATCGAAACTATAATTTTTGAAAAGTATTGAAATAAGAGTAACTAAAATGAATTATGTTATGCAACATCTGTGGTATTTTGAAACAAATCTCTTGTGGGATAAGTACAGTTAGTTGTAAATTAATTTGTAGAATTATTCCTTTGTGATAAACAAATAAATTGTGTGAAACCCACTGAGAAACAATAACAGTTATCGGGTAAAAAGTTGGAAAACACTTGTGCAATCCATTACTTGAACATCCAATGTTTTGTGGGAGATCTAAAAATCATTCTGAATTCAAAGTTTTTGGCATTTAGTGTTTTTAGATCACTAGTAAAAATCCTGGTTCAAATTTCAGAAAAAAGTTCAAAATAGAAGTTCAGGAAGTACTTAATAGTTTGTTTTATAAAATTAGCAAACATTCATTACCAAGGTAAGCAATAAATATTACAAAAGTAATATTCTTTTTATAAATGCAACTATTTCATATTTTTCAGCTAAATTTAATATTACAATGACTTTCTTTTTACATATTTAAACTTAATAAATATGAAAATTGTTATTTATATAATCCATAGCTTATTAGGTAAGTTAGGTCATGGCTCTAGCATAGCAAGTGCTGTGACTTAGAGTTTAGGTTGTTATTCCTTCTATATTATATAACTAAAAGTATATCAAAGATGAAATGTAAAACCAAACATTTATAAATTAAGATAAAATTCTAATTTTTCAATTTTTAGGTATTAGTAAGCTGTACTTGGCTTACCTTCTAGGGTGCCTGCATTTATAACTGATAAGGTAATTTTCATACCTAAAGTTATGAAGGCCTACCTTTTCGAATTCATTAAAACTATAAGTTAAAACAATGACATAAAATACTATATAAAAAAAGGAGCAAACTTTTGTACAATCTTAAAATTTATTTTTGTAAGGTGTGATATGATACCTGATCCTGGAAAAACATTATCAGCAGTTAAATGTACAATTCTAGTTCAAGTATTCATCCTAAAAAGAGGTGAATACAGCAAGCTTCTGGCATGTTTACTGTATTTATTTATTTTTGCATGTCTTTTGCTTGAAGCTAATCCGTGACAGATTATGCATTGTGCTATAAGACTGAATCAATCCAAAATAATTTTTACCATTTTAGTATACGATCCTGAATAAATGGGACCAACCACTAAATTATACACTCATTAAGGTAAACTTCTTTGTAGATAAACATTCTACTTAGTCTGACAGGTTTTATTCGTGCTTTTTACTAAAATAGCAAGCAAAGATAGTTCAGCAAACATTTTGCTTTGTCATAATGTTCAAACAAACCAGTTGCACTCTGTTCAAGTTTTACAAACAAAACAAAATCACTACAAACAAAACAAAGTTGCTACAGTTTACCTTTGCCAATTGGGCTAAGAAAGTCAATTAAAAAATCTACATTATATATATAATTTAGCATACCCAGACAACACTTCTTTTCACATTACTGTAGATGTGTCATTTGATTAAAACGCAACATTGATGACCTTGCTGACCATGAATATCCTATTCAAATAGCAGTTTTGACCACACTCTTCCTGTCATCTCAAACAAAGTGTGTAGTTTCAAAATGATGTAAAGGAAAGTTCAAACTTTCATTAATGAGTTGCTGTATAGTTCTAATGTTCTACAGTCTATTTTCTTCAAAATTTGTACAAATTTAATGAAGATAAATGACAAACAAAACATTATGGATCTATTTCATCAAAAAATCAAAATTTGTTGTAGGTGTTAATAGGAGAAACCTTAAGATGTGTCTAGCAAAGCTAATTTACTATAATTCATGATTAACAGACTGCTATTTAGTTCACTGACTCGATAAAAGAAAAAAAGAGATCAAACTTACACTTGACTGTCTCAAAATTGTTATTCATACCATTGAGAAGCAAAAACAAATGCCAGACATTAAAAACATGAAAATTTTGCAGGACAATGCAAAACTTCATGTTGCAAAAGTTGTCAAAAAAAAAAAACTAAACAGCAAGAGCTATATTTAATAAAACATAACAGGCCTTGTTAAGAAGCGTTACACTATTTGAATTTTTAAATTAAGTGAAAAAAGTTTTAGGTAAAACTTTTATGTGCTACTAAAAGACGTTTATTTAAACGTCTTTTATTAGTACAAATTAGGCGGATTAGTACAGATTAAGCTGTAATTAATTGTTGTAAAAAACATTTGTGGAATATTTTTTTAATAGATAAAAAAACATAGATAAATAAACTTTTTTCTATTTTTCATTTAAAAAAAATATATATTATCATTTTATTTTATTAAATTTAAATTAAATTTATTGTTAAATATAGTAAAATATCAATTTATTTTATTAAATTTATTAAAATTCTTTTAAAAATTTTAAAACGCTTTACATTGTTTATTTAGTTTATTACTTTATCATTACTTTAGTTTTACAATTTTTTTGTGCTAAAATTTTTAAACTATGTTAAAATAAAATAAAAAATTTAATAAATTTAATTTAATTTACTATAAAATGTTCGTGTTTCATATAACTTTATTTCAGATTTCAGTTTTGAAATTGCTTATTAACAAAAGTTTTTTCTTTATCATTAATTTTTTTAATTGATTATAGACTGAACGACAAATAAAAATGATCAACTAGTTTATGAGTAGTATCTGAAGATTTTGCATACTTTTGCATAACAAAGCTGAAAAGCCGTAATCTCTTCGTTTAATTACAAATTTTATTTAGTCAAAGCAAGTTGAAATAAAATGTTTTAGGTAGCGCAAATGTTTTTTATAAAGAGAAAACCCAATCTATTTGTATATTTGTGTAAACCGTTTAAAAAACTTTAGTACATTTAAATCCCTTTAAGAAATTCAACAATAAACAAGTGTTCCCTCATTAGAAAAATAATAACTAATGTTTTGAAGAAAGAAAAAAAAGTTTTAATAAGTATAAGATTTTAAAATAAGGAAATGTCTTTCTTTTTTTTAAACAAAATTTAAATTTTATTTATAACTTTTTTAAACGGTATTGTTTGATTTAAAGATATTTCATAAACATAAAGATTTACAACAATTATTAATGTAGTTTTAAATTTAATTACAATTAGGTAAATATCTTTATTAAGTAAAGTTACATTTATTTTCATTACGCTTTTCCGTTCAAAAACAAAATCTCATAACAAGACCTACATAATAATGTTTAAAGCTTAAATCAAAGCAATAGCAAAAATAAAAAATGGCAGAAATTATAGTGGGAGTAAGCAAAGAAGAGTGGTTAAAAATGATCAAGAAGAACTGTGACCAAATAAAACTATGCATAGATTTTATTGACAAATACTTTTAACATTCAACTAAATAAAATTTCAAACATCTTTTGTTCTTTTAATTTTATTTTATCAAACTTAATTTGTTCTTTTTGTTCTTTTTTTTTAATTCTTGGTTTTGGTTTTTGTTTTCTTATTTATTTTTTCTTACTTCATTCACCTTTATATTTTTTACTTTCGATCCCCGAAAGTAAAAAATTTATTTCACTTTAATTTTTGAGGAAAAATTAAATTTGTTGAAGAAAAAACAAATATATGTTGGAAATACAAAATTGTTAAAATACGAAATAGATATAATTTTTATAAGTTCAATATAAATATAAATATTTTTTTCCAGAAATATTTATTGACCAATAAGTTTAAACATAACAAATAAAAATGTAAATCTCAAGTTAATTACTGGTAAGTTTCTAATCACAGTTTTACAAAAATCTTCTCTGTCATAATGAAATTGAACTGTGAAACATCCACTGAAAACAGTCTGATCCACTGAATCCACTGAAAACAGTCTGATCCACTGAATCCACTGAAAACAGTCTGATCCACTGAATCCACTGAAAACAGTCTGATCCACTGAATCCACTGAAAACAGTCTGATCCACTGAATCCACTGAAAACAGTCTGATCCACTGAATCCACTGAAAACAGTCTGATCCACTGAATCCACTGAAAACAGTCTGATCCACTGAATCCACTGAAAACAGTCTGATCCACTGAATCCACTGAAAACAGTCTGATCCACTGAATCCACTGAAAACAGTCTGATCCACTGAATCCACTGAAAACTGATCCACCAGATCTTTTATCTGACACAAGAAAATGATGCGAAAAAAAAGTTTAAATTCCGTACATAACAGTTTTTTTTTAAACCAATAGATTTGATGGTTATAAAAACTTAAACTGATAACTTTGATGGTTTTAAAAATTGAAACCAATAGTTTTGATGGTTATAAAAACTAATAAAATTATGTTTATTTATCCTTAAATTGACATCAAAAACCTAAGAATTTTTAAACTTTTTCAAAATTTATTAGCTTATCACATATATATATATATATATATATATATATATATATATATATATATATATATATATATATATATATATATATATATATATATATATATATATATATATATAGTCAACCTGATGCAGACCAGATGCGAACCTCTAACAGTTTAAGATTTATATATATATATATATATATATATATATATATATATATATATATATATATATATATATATATATATATATATATATATATATATATATATATATATATATATATATATATATATATATATATATATATATATATATATATATATATATATATATATATATATATATATATATATATATATATATATATATATATATATAGTCAACCTGATGCAGACCAGATGCGAACCTCTAACAGTTTAAGATTTACAATAAATTGCCGACCTCATTTTTCCTAATTGCAAAAACTGTACATATAATAACAATATTATTTTAATAATTTTATTTTGACACTTAAAATTAATTATTAACTTTGTGATCACAAATTGTGATTACAAAAAAAGATTTAAAAAAAAATTATTAAATATAAAAAGTTACTTACATTACAAAATCCTTCATCGCTTTCTTCACCACAAACGCGACTTTGTTTTTTAAATAATTTGGACTCTCTATTTTTGGCATATGGATTTTCAACTTTAAAAAAGAAACAAATAGAATTTTATAATTTAAAATTAAAAATGACTCTATTATTCTATTTTGAGAATATAAATCTAGATCATATCAAACTATTTAACTTAATTTATTATGTTTAAAAATTATGCATAAAGCACATATATATAATTTTACATACAAGCATACAGCTTATTATGGCCACCTAATAATTTTGGTGATTTTGAAATATTTTCTCATTTTTTTCATAGGAAGAATGAAAATTGTTATTATAAGTTAATAAGTTGTTTAAAATGAGGTTTTAACTCATGTTTATCATTTCGGTTTTTTTTTTTTTTTTTTTTGTTACTGGCAACACTGTCAGTTTTAACAGCTATTTTATATGATGTCATTTTTTAATTAACTTTGTTGCTGTGCTGAGTTTATTAACAGAGTTTTTATTAACATGCTGAGTTTATTAACAGAGTTTTTAATTAGTTTACTTTAAAATATTTAAAAGTTATCTTTTATATATATAGTTAAATCAGTGAAAATTTTGATTCCTGAATATTCCGCCTCATTTTAATAAATATTTTTAGTTTGTAAACTTTTAAGTGTGGTACTGAAACATGTTATTTTATTTTAGATATGGGAAATATAAACAATTTTGTTACCAAAAAAAATTCAGGGCACTGGCAAATATCCTAACAAATATTTTTCTTTTTCAAGAACTTTGCCAGATGCAGGCTTGAAAAATTGTTTTGACAAAAAAAAAAGACTAATATGGAGAACATGACATCAAAGAGGGTAAACAAAAAGTGAAGATTAAACTTTAACCTTTGATGAAAGATACTAATCTAAGATTGCCATAAAAAGTGGGTAAGAAAAAAAATTAGGTAATTAAATTGTTAAGTTTAAGCAACCTGGTGTCCTGGTCCTGGTTAAGTTTAAGCAACCTGGTGTCAAAATATCAGAGAGAACATTTCAATGCCTGCATGATTTTGGTTACAGTTCATGACACCCTGAACTCTAAACAGACAAAAAATAAACTGGAAAAAAGCTGGGAGTGTGAAAAATGTAACCAAATGAAAAAAATAATTTAGACAAAGAATATAATAACTTATCTAAAGATAAATGGAAACTGGTATAACTAAGCTAGATTTAATATTAATTACTTTAAATATTTACTTTGTTATATCAAATTGTTAAAGATTTACTAAACAATCTTTGTTTAATATTTTCAGATATGCTTTAGTAACGAGAGTACCTTCCAGCTGTTAGAAAAATGGTTTTATACATAAAGTACTTATTGGAATGCATCATTCAAACTATTAAACAAAGGTAGTTAAAATTTAACAAAGGTAGGTCTAATATTCTCTCATTTATGGAACTGATCTTGATACCTCTCACAAAGATAAGGCAGAACTATTTGCAAAGAATATTTCTTTTAATTCGACTCTTGAATCTTATGGTCATACTCTTCCATGGTCAGACTCTTCTATGGTCATACTCTTCCTTCCATTCGAATTAAACAGGTTAATAAAAGAAACTCAAAATGCTTTTTGCAAATAAACCTAATATATAAAAAAACGTAAATAATTTTGAAAAGGAAGAATTTGCTCTAAGTACAATATATAATAACCTAAAAAGACTTAAAACTGTTCAATCCTTTTCTGATAGAAAGCACCCTTGTTGTCCAACATCCTGTTCTAGAGAAATAAGAGTTGAATTAACAAGACTTGTCAACAATTAAAAAGGGGTCAGTCAGAGAAAAATAGGTTTTAAATCTGGTGTAAATCAATTGACAATTGGTATTCTGTTTAAAAAAATGAATATTAAATTAAAACTACAAGAAATCAATTTAAATTTTTTACAGACGCTTATGAAAAGCGTTAGAGCAAAATTGAGATCAATTGCAGATGGTGGTGTTTTTCACTTAAAAAATAACATTTTTATTAAAAAGATAAATACTTTATTTTAAAAAAATATAGTTTTTTTTTCATTTATAAATATGTTATTGACATTTTTATTTTTTCCAATAACTTACACATCACCAAATAAGTCCTTGATTGAATCTTGTTTACCTACCTACGGCATTTGTGGTTCTAATTTTTTTTAAACTCTGAGATCATTCTGACCCCTCTGACTACTGCTCAATCAGTCATCTATCTGTTATTAACAAGGTCTTTGAGTCTTTAACAAATTTTAAAAATCCCATCTTGAGTCAAATAACTTACTGTCGGACAATCAATTTATTCAACCTTCTCACTTTAGGGCTGATTTATTAACTGCTGTGACTGAAAGAATAATTCTGGATTAAATGGAGGTGGCAAGGCTAGGTCTATTGCTCTTGACATATCTGAAACTATCAACAATGTTTAGCATGCTGGTCTTGTACATAAGCTTGCTTCATATGGTGATGGTGTATCTAGGGAAGTTTTTGAGATTATCAAATTATTTCTTTCTAACCAAAAGTCATCTTCAAATATCCTCAAAAAACCTCACTAAGTCATCCTCAATAACTTCTAGGGTACCTCATGGTTCTATCCTTGGTCTTGTTTTGTTTCTTTATATACATTAATGATCTTCCTGACAACCTTAAATCTAAAAGTGGCTCTATTTGCTGATGACTCAACTTTATACTCCTGTTTTGACAAAAATTCTTTTATTTTCAATCACTTAGGACAAGCAGCTTGAATCTGATCTCACTTCAGTAACAGATTGGGACTTGCAGTGGCTTGTGAATTTTAACTCCAACAAAACTCAGTTATTTACTGCAAATCACAATACTGTTGATATTCATACATTAATGATTGAAAACCTTCTCTCTGAGCCCTCTTCTTTAAATCTTCTTGTATTTCACTGACCTTTCATGGAACCATAATTAAAATTGATTGCTAAATAAACATTTGCTAAAGTTTCTTCTATTTATCGTGCTTGCCATTTTCTTACTCCTGATTCCATTCTCTGCTTCTACAAATCTCTTATTTACCCCTGCATGGAATACTGTTTTCATATTTGGACTGGTTGTTCTAATGAATTTCTTTCTCTTCTAGACAAGGTCCAAAAAAGTATTGTAAACATAGTTAAGGCTGCTCCATCTGCCAAGCTTGAATATCTCTCCTATTGATCTTGCACCTATTTCTCTTTTCTACAAATACTATCAAGGTCACTGCTCAAAAGATCATATCTAGTTCCATCAACCAAAAGTCATTGTTTGACGCATCATTCAGCAAAGTCTCATTTATTTACTGTTAAAAGTTTTCTTTATCTAGTTTTTTTTCTCTGCACTTCAACCCTTTGGAACTCTCTCCCATATTCATGTTTTCCTGACTCATACAACCTACAATTTTTCAAGTCTTCTCAAAACTATTTCCTTGCTCTATAACTCTTTTTTTTTTTCTAGTAACTCCCAACCTAATCGTGGTTGCTTGCAGCTTTGTTGGGAGTGAATCTGAATTTTAAAAAAAAAACATCCCACCTTAATGATGATCTGGTCAGTGATATATGGAAGGAGAATGTGGTGGCTCTACATTTTCAAGGGAATGATAAATCAGTTGTAACATAATTAAGTCCTAACACAAAAATGGGAATGCAAGGGAATAAGAAAATGGTTTGGTCCAGGTGTAAAAAAATCTTTATGTAGGCTGGAGCAATATGTTAAAAAAATATTCAGTGTATAGAACAAAATAGATAGTGATCGACCGAAATTCGGTTCGGTTCCGGTTCCGGTCATAAATTTGGCTGGAATCGAAATTCCTGTTTCGGTTCCGGCTAGATTTGAGATTTCGGTTTCAGCCGGAATTTCGGTTCTAAATGCTACCGAAAAAAGATATTATAAAACTTTATTTTAAATAAATTATTTAGCATTGTAGCGTAAATATATTTTGATTAAAAAAATTTAAATAATTTTTTTGCTAGTTATTTCAACTTCTTATATTATTTTTTGCGTCCGATCGCGTTGTTACTTTTATCTGGTTTTTAATTATCATGTTTAAAATATCATGATCTACAAATTTAATGACGCTACAATGTTATCTACATTGTAGAGTCATATGTTTATGGACTTGATTATTTATTTATTTTAATTATCGCATGGAATTGGTAACGGTAAAATCTTTACGAACTTGGTGATTTTTTTTTAAATTATCACGTGAAATTTGTTTGAAATAAATTAAAAAAGTTTTTATTGGTTTCATTCATTTTTTTAAAGCAAGTTGTTTTAATGTTTTCTCGTCGTTAAAACATTAAAACAATAATGTTTTCTTGTCGTTATAACTTTTTTAATGTTTTCTCGTTTAAATTGTTAATTGTCTTTTTAACGAACTTTTTAATGTAACGTAAGAAATTTTTCTTAAATATATATATATATATATATATATATATATATATATATATATATATATATATATATATATATATATATATATATATATTGTTAAGTTAACAACAATATTAATACAAATTAATATAATTAATAATTAATATAATTAACAAAGAACTTGTTAATTATATTTTAAATCCTTGTTCTTGACTCAAACTAGCAACATTAAAAAACTCATCTGATTAAGTTCTTCGATTTCATTCTAATAAAATGAGCTCAAACCGAAAAACAAGTTTAGTGTGGAAGTACTTCATAATTGAAGCAAACAATCCAAGAATGGTTCAGTGCAAAATCTGCAACAGCAAAGTTTAAAGAGGATCTGACGACCCAAAAAAACAAGGATTAAGTGGACTCACGTCACACCTGAAGAATCATCATCCTGACATCAAACTTACGCCCGAAAAAGCAGAAAATCCAAAGGCAAATGAAGAAGCTGACTTAAATTCCAACAAGAGAAAGGCAGTTACAATCTTCAACATGTGATCAAAAAAACAAAGATCCGACATGTTGCAATCTACAATTCCAAACTGGGTTCAAGCTTCTTCAAAAATTGACTCTAATTCTGAAAAAGGCCAAAAATTTCACAAGTCAATTTTTGAAATGATGATTCTTGACCTCCAACCATGGTCTATTGTCAATGATGCTGGATTTTTGAGGCACCATGCTCTTATTGCTCCAAATTACGAAATTGCTAGCGAAAAATACTACAGAAGTTTACTGGATCCGACTTACGAAAAAATAAAAGTTGCTCTCAAGGAAAAGCTGGTTCAATCAGAAGCTGAAAATGTGTCTGTCTGCCTTGATGCATGGTCATCATTTCATCATGGCTATCTGGGAATGACTGTTCACTTTATTTCCAAAGACTGGAACCGTGTCAAATTCTGCATCTCTTGTTCTCCATTTGATGAAAGTCATACTGCAAAAAATATTTTCAAAGAGATCAAAGCAGCAGCAGAGGAATGGGAAATTTCTTCAAAAATTGGAGTTTGCTTAAGAGACAACGCAGCAAATGTAAAAGCAGCCTTCAATGAGCCAAGCTGTAATTATAAGTCAGCTGGATGCCTTAACCACTCCCTTCAACTTGTGATAAAAAAAGACCTATTATCAGATCCTACCATCAACGAACTGATTGAAAAGAGTCGAAAACTTTGTTCTTACGCATCCCATTCTATTGGTTTCTACACTGAACTTTACAGACAGCAAGAAATCCAAATAGATAGAAAAGACAGACTTGGCTTAAAAAACGATGTTGCCACAAGATGGAACTCTACCTATTACATGCTTGAGCGAATTTTACACCTGAAACCAGCCATTGCTGCAACCTTACTCAAATTTCCTTCTGTGGGAATTGAATTTTCCGTCCAAGATTGGAGCCTCTATGAAAAAGTGGTGAGGATTTTAAGTGTTTTTGAGGAGGCAACAAAAATGTTGTCAGGTAGTGATTCTTGTATCAGTTCCTGCATTCCAATTGTGACAACAATAATTAAAGCTTTGGAAACAACCTCCGGCGACGTCAGTGTTCAGAAATTGAAAATAGCTATGAAAAATGCAATGGAAAAACGTTTTTCAGCAATTGAAAAAACAGAACATTATTCAGTTGCTACTTTACTTAATCCAAAATACAAATTGTATTTTTTCCGATCTCAAGCTGCTTTGCAAAATGCCAAACACATTGTCATGTCCCAAATGGAGAATTTTGAACCTCTTGAAGATGAATTGGCTCCTGTTACTCAAATTCCATCTGGTGACAATGAAAAAAACACGGCATTCTCGCACATAATGTCAAAAATTATTGCACAGTCTCAAACAGGACCAAATGAGCATTCATCTTCCAAAATGACAAGGGAAGTGTTGAAGGATTTTTTGGATTGTCCAATGGCTTCTCATTGCCTAGAATTTTGGAAAAAACTATGAAAAAAATGCGACTAGCAAAATCAAGTTAGCATTGACTAAGGTGGCAAAAAAGTACCTCACACCACCCCCAACATCCACAGATGTTGAAAGATTGTTTTCTATGGCTGGAGATATACTATCTAACGAAAGAAACAGACTCCTTCCAGAAAATTTGGAAAAACTCCTTTTTTGTCGAGAAAATCTTGCAGTTGTTGGATTCTGCTATTAATCATTTTTTATTAATTTAACTTTGTGTTTTAATTGGAATAAACTTGCAAACAAAAACTATTATTTATTTTCGTTTCCGGTTTCGGTTTCGGCTCTGGTTAGGGTTTACTTTCGGTTCCGGTTCCGGTTAGGAATATTTAAAATCTATTTTCGGTTCGGTTCCGGTTCCGGCAAAATTTCAGTGCCGGTCGATCACTAAAAATAGAACAGTATGTTCCATATATATAGAACAAAATAGAACAGTTTATTCCACTGGATTGGCCAGGAAACTCTTCTAACCTAAATCCTACAAAAAATGTTAGGGAGCTTAAGAAAAAAATGTCTAAAGAAAGTCAGTCTTTTTATAGAATAAATCACAAATTTATTCTATAAAAAGAATTTTTTACCACCAAAACGATAATGAGCAACTGCAGGCAATGGCTGAAAACTGCATAAAAGTATGAAAATGGGTTCTGGCTGTTATAGCAGACGTTACAAATGTAGATAGGGAATTTTTCTAAAAAAAACTGTATGGAAAAAAGTAATCAAAAAAACAATTGGCAAAGTATAGCTATATATGCTATAGTAGAAAAAATATCTGGAAACGCAAACAAAAAGAAAGTAATAAAAAGTATTCTGTTCAGAAAACTGGAACTTACAAAAATTACAGGAATAAGTATAATAAACATGCATCTGCTATGTTAAAAAAAGAATTCTGATAACACTATCAGAAAACATCAGGTTCTAGTTATGTGAGATTTTGATACATATTTATGTTGTAATAATAATGGTGCTAATTTCAATGGCTTAGATACAAGTAATTTGATAAATCTGTTTGACGTTTTAAGTCAATTTTTTTAAAATAATATTTCAAAACTATACAATGCCCACTCTTATAAGGAGTCAGCTGAAAAAAGATTTAAAGTTAAATGATTAGATTTAAAACATTGGGTTGTTTTTGAGTGTTTGCTTTACTAAATTCTTTTAAATAAAACATGATCTATTGAAACTCTTTTATATAACTTCCTGCATAATAAATAAACTAATTCTGCATTTAATATTTTTATTTAGCAAGATAGAAATCAATCAATTTGTAATTTGTACTATATCGACCTTTTCAAATTGTGATGCTTGAGTAATACTCCATGGTTTTAGTACTATGTTTTAATACTTTCTTTTTAGCTTTGTTCTAATACTTAGCTTTATTTTAATACTTTCTTTTTAGCTTTGTTCTAATACTTACCTTTGTTTTAATACTTTCTTTTTAGCATTGTTCCAATACTTAGCTTTATTTTAATACTTTCTTTTTAGCATTGTTCTAATACTTAGCTTTATTTTAATACTTTCTTTTTAGCTTTGTTCTGATACTTAGCTTTGTTTTAATACTTTCTTTTTAGCTTTGTTCTAATACTTAGCTTTGTTTTAATACTTTCTTTTTAGCTTTGTTCTAATACTTAGCTTTGTTTCAATACTTTCTTTTTAGCTTCTTTTCTAATACTTAGCTTTGCTTTAATACTTTCTTTTTAGCTTTGTTCTAATACTTACCTTTGTTTTAATACTTTCTTTTTAGCTTTGTTCTAATACATAACTTTGTTTTAATACTTTCTTTTTAGCTTTGTTCTAATACTTAGCTTTGTTTTAATACTTTCTTTTTAGCTTTTTTCTAATACTTAGCTTTGTTTTAATACTTTCTTTTTAGCTTTGTTCTAATACTTAGCTTTGTTTTAACACTTTCTTTTTAGCTTTTTTCTAATACTTAGCTTTGTTTTAATATTTTCTTTTTAGCTTTTTTCTTATACTTAAATTATTTACTTCATAAATATTTAAACTGCATATACAAACCATATTGCTCTGCTTGAACACATTGAGTACTTGCACTGGTTGACTCCTAAGAAAGAAAAAAATAACTTAATAATCATTTTGTATTTAGGTGTAATTGTCAGCCTTCTCTGTTTAAAATTTCATACCAGCATGCAATAAAATATAGGGCGGTAGTATGTGACCAAGGTCTCTGCCCCAGCCCCACCTAAAAATGGGACTTTTTACTAACCCAGCTCTGGCCTGGGTAGACTTATAAGATTTAACAGGGGATGATAGCCAGGGTTAGAAAAAAATTTATAATATTATATTTATAAATTTGTACATACATTTATTATTTATTAAATACTAGCATATATATATAAATATAAATATATATATATATATGTGTAAATATATATATGTAAATATATATATATATATATATAAATATATATATATATATATATATATATATATATATATATATATATATATATATCAGGCCTTGCTTTAAAGCGTTACGCCTAGAGCGATTTACGTACGCTTTAAGCAATTTTTACATACGCGTAGAGCTGTTTTGGTTAAGCTACTTTTTATCATTTTTTAACTTTTAAATTAGCGGTAACATAAAAGAAGTAATTAATTATTAAAAAAACCACATTAACTTTTAACGATATGTAAAGATATTTATTACAAAAAAGAATTTACATTAAAAATAATTGTTGTAACTTTTCATAGAGATATTTCTTACCTTTTTATAGCAATTAATTTTACGCTAAACTTTTTATCCAAATATTTAGCAACATGAAAAATTGTTCGTTAATCCTTTACTACAAATTTTTTGCAATGTTTTAATAAAAGGTAGTAATTTTTGAAAGTTTTCAGTAAAAAATTTTTAAAAAATCTATATTCCATATTTATTAATACAGAATATAAATGTTTTTAGTAATATAGATTTTTTAAGAATTTTTTACTGAATTTATAATAAAAAATGTTTGCAAAAAAATTTGTAATTAAGGATTGACATTTTTTTTAATATCTCATAAAAAATCAAGACATTTTTTCGAGATATTAAAAAAAAATGTGCCAATGAATGAACAATCTATTTGTATTTTTCTAAAAATTACTTCATTAATTATTACTCTTTGCTTTTCTCATAAGTAATAAAATTTAGTAAGGCATATAGATACTTTTATCTTTAAGTTATGCGGGGGAAGGGGGCTGGCACAGAAAAAAAAAAACTACCTGTTACTCGCAATTTTTGAATGAAGACAATTTGTTAAATTTCTTCTGCGTGTGATTCAATAAGTTTTTTTCATAAATCAAGTTATATTATAAGGTAAAGAAATAACGAGTAGACTACAACATCCGCTGATGACACTAATATTACGTTGAATATATTTATATAATGGAGGTTTCATTATGCACGCGCACATTACAGATTCTGTTAAATAAATACTAAGGCACGTTTTAGTTTAATGACAGTCTCTATTTTTTACTAATGAATATGTATTTTTCTTTATAAAATAAGACAAACTAGTATATAAAAATCTTGTATATTTCTATTCTCTCTAAATTGTTTAAAGTTTGAATATAGATTGTATTTTAAAAGACAAAAGATTTACTTTAAAAACATTTAAATCTTGGGACTTTGCTGATGCGATGATCACAGAAAAAGAGAAGACTAATGTTATTAAAATCAAATGTAAGTTATGTGATCTTCATCAAAATAAAATATTATCCAAAAACAATGGTGCCGTAAGGGCAGCTGCCCTACGGTATAAATATTTTAACATGTTACTATATTTTAATTAAGTTGGTATATAAATAAAAATAAAAATATAGTTTAATAAATAAATTAAATTTGTTCTTAACAAAGATTACCTCATATTTAATCTTTTTTTATTTTATTAAGTTAAATTACAAACGAAAAAAAAAAAAGAGTTTTATAATTATACTTAGAATGAAAATACTTTTGAGTTTGTTTATAAGTTAAGGAACTTAATTTTTAATAAACAACGAACGTTTATTATAAACAGGTACAATTCAAATTATTAAATATACTTAAATTATTTTAGTTGAGTTTTTTTTTAATTTTGCACGATTAAAGTTTTGCTTAGAAGTATTAGTTTTTTGTTTTAAGAATAATTGACAAAAGAGTTTGCATAATTAAGACTTTTATATTTAATTTAATTTTTTTTTTTAATTTCCTAAAATTTAAAAAAAAAAAAAAAAAGATTTAATCATTAAAAACGATTTTTCTCTATAGCTCTGTTTCTTTGTAATTTGTTTAAAATGTAAAACATTTTTACAATAACATAAAAAATTTATAAATTAAATTCCTGGCGAACGCGTTCCAAACTATGTATAAAAAATATGCTCAAAGCAGACAAAACTTTTTTATATTTTTATATAAAGCAAGTTGAAACACTAAGCAAGATAAACTTAAAAAGTATTTAAAAACCTTAATTATTCTTTGCTAGTCAAAACAAAATCGCTGTTTAAATAATTAACATGGGTTTGTGTTTATTAATGTTAATATTTGTTTACTCTAGAAATTTTTAAAAATAAAAAAAATCATTATTATTTTTTATTCAATAACGATTTATAAACAATAATTGTTCAAAAACAAATTTCAGAAATATTTAAAAATTTATATATACTTTTACTAAATAATATTGAACTAAAATTAATAATAAAAAAACAATTGAAAGCATTAAATTAATTAAATAACAATTGAAAACTTTTCATAATAAATTTACATTTAAAACGTTTATAATTATTTGAGTTAATTGTTAAATTGAACTAGTTTGTGGTTATTTACTTATTGCGGTAGTTAAAACAATTAACATCTATAAAAAAAAATAAAGATAATTTTATGACATCAAAATCGCGTTAAGCTTATGCATTTTTATTTTATAGCACTTTTTTATTTAAAACAAGGCCTGTATATATATATATATATATATATATATATATATATATATATATATATATATATATATATATATATATATATATATATATATATATATATATATATATATATATATATATATATATATATATATATAGTATATGTTACTGTTACCCGCAGTACCAGAAATACAGTGAAGGCTATATATAAGCAACTTTCTTTATAAGCAACCTCAACCTCAACACACACACACACACAAGCAGAGAAACAATGTAATACATACCTTTCTTTCCGGCAACTGGGTATCTAAAAAAACAATTTGTCCATATAAGTGGATAATTAAAGAAATGCATTTAAAACTAAAATATTTTAGCTTGAATTAAACAAATCACATCTTACTACCATAGGTTAGGGCCACTTATTGCTTTAAAGGGTACTCACCAACAGAAACTTGGTTTTGACTAGGCCTCTTTTGATCAAATAATATTTTTAATTATTTAGTATTAGCCCTAATAATTACAATCACACATACATTTTTTTTTTCTATTCTTTGTTTTCATAATTTAAAATTATAAAATTTGGTATTCTCTTAATTTCCAAGTTTTAAAATTATGAAAACAGAGATTTTCAAGATTCCAGATTTTATGATCAAGATAAAAAATAGTAATTTAAATAGTTTGAAATAAAGAAGATTTTTATATATATATATATATATATATATATATATATATATATATATATATATATATATATATATATATATATATATATATATATATATATATATATATATATATATATAAAAATATATAAAAATCTAATAATAAGATTTTTATATATATATCTTTTTTGAATTTTTCTTGCAATTTGTAGACTATCAAAAATTAAAAAAATTTAGTATTTTAAGATTTCCTATACTACACTTTAATATTTTAAGATATCCAAACAATTATTAAATATCTTCTTCATTAGTTGAAAATATTATATGCAGGGTCATTCCATGTCAAATCATCCAAAAATATCAAAAAATGTCACCCCATGTTTGGGATTTAGCTAATTTTTTTATATTTCATAGGGTTTATGAAAATTAAAAAAATCCGAAATAAAAAACTCCTTACAGTTCTTGAGATATTCAGGTTTCAATTTTCATATTTATGCTGACTGAAAAATGCATTTTTGTCATTAAATAGTAATATTTTATGGACAAAATGAGGTATCATTCTGAAATTTGGTACATAGACAATCTTCCATATGGTGGATACAAATATCAAATTAAAATTTTTTTTAGACCACCTAAAGTACATGTAAATTAAATAATAATGGCATTTATTTTGGGGTATTTTGACGGTCAAAATGGTGATGTCACTATGGTAATTTTTTTTCAGGCATTACTAAAACTTACAATATAGGTATTAAACATCACTATTAATTAAAAATATATTGTTGCATTTTTTGACTTTTCTAAATACAGCCTTTTAAGTAAAGCTGAGTCAGCATAAAATTTATTGCTAACTTATTTATGAAAAAATTAGCTATATCTTAATTTCATGTTGTAAAAAGTTATTTTTAAATTTTAGTTTATACTAAACCGTGTTCCTTGCTTTTAAGGGGAGAATCAACTTAAATTTGTTAGCGAAAAAATAAAAAATAAAACAATAGACTTACGACTACAAAAATAATAACACTCTAGTCACTAACTGCATTACAAAAGTAATAATACAATAATAGTGTTATTATTTTTATAACGCACTTATAACTTTTAAAATTCATTCTATGTTCAAGCAACATTAGTAATCCCAAATTTTAATTGAAGTAGAAAAATATCTATAAGAATGAAGTAGATGTTCAAATAATATTAAAACTAAAAACGTGACAAACAACTTTATGAAAAATGTATCGTAATAAAAGTTTAGCATTATGAAAAACGTTACTAATGGACTGAAAAAACGCGCATTAATTTTAAAATTAACCAATAAAAATATTTTATTGGTTAATTTTAAAATTAACGCGCGTTTTTACATAGCGTTTTTCATAATGCTATACTTTTTATAAACTACTTTTTTATAACGTTGTTTAAATGATATTTGAAAGTTCCTGAAATTTTTAATAATATTTGAATACCCACTTTATTTTTTCTAGATGCATTTCTACTTTAATAAATGTTTGGAATTAATAATGTTGTTTGAAAAAAGAATGAACTTTAAAAGTAATAAGTGCTTTATAAATGTAATAACACTATTATAGTTTTATTACTTTTATAATGCAGTTAGTGACTAAAGTGTTATTACTTTTGTAGTCGTAAGTTTATTGTTTTTGTTTTGTTTTTTGTAACCTTTTCGCTAGCAAACTTTAAATAATTTGCTCCTTATAAACAAAGTACACAGCTTTGCATGAACTAAAATTTCAAAGACTTAATATTTTACCAGAGATTGGAAATCGCGATCGTATAATTTAACTCATGATATAAACTTGTTACATTATAATTATTCAAATATATTTTACAAACAGATGACGATACATATTTTCTCTTTCCTCTTTAAAAGAAAAAACACATAAAATATAGAAAAGTCATTCTTTTTAACGCATAAAACTGTGTTTGTTTTTTTTTACTTTGACTTAATGAATTTTGTTGCCGATAATAATAACCACTAAGAAAAAACAAAAATAAAAACAACACACAAATTATTTAAACAATTATTATTGTTTTCTATTTAAGTTTACTTTAATTTTTTATGTAGTTATTAAATTTAAAACAATTTTTCAGTAACCATATAATATAACTTGCGCAATCGACCCTAGTCGTACGAAACGAAAAACCGCACGCCTTTCCTGGGAAGGCTTGTACATTGTCCATATGATTATAAATAAGCTGCTGCACAACCAGCTCATTTGGTATCTGCACAAGGTTAAATGTCTGAACATCAATTTGTTGACTTATCCTTATAAAAGAAACTGTATACTCATCAATTGGTATAAAATGGTGAAAGCATCTTGTTCTTGGCAAGGTTCTTCCCATAGTAAATCTTGGTTGCAATGATGATCGTACTTCGTTTATTTCTGTTCAGTCACTATTCTTTTTAAACTAGCTTGTGCAGTTATTCGTTTTACTGTGACGCCAATGCCATCACAAGCAGACTTACCATGACTTGTAGCAAAAAAGACCCATTCAGCATCAACATTAATGTCTTCTTTGTGATGGCAAAGATTAATAAAATTCTTAAAGTTTTTATATTGTGCTGCACATCCATCAGTGAAGTATTTAATATTACTAATTTGTAGAATGTTTACCTTAATGTAATTGGTAATGAGCTGTTGTATTTTATATACAAATTATACATCATGCTCAACGTCATCAGAAAAGAAGCAAAATGACTTAAATATCAGTTTATCATTTAATTTATAGTATATAATAATATGGTGAAGTGGACATTTTGGTTTATTCCAGTGGTAACTTTGCACCTCATCCTGAACAATAAACTGGAAGTTCTCTGCAAAGTCAATACTATACACTCATTTTGATTTAATAGCTCTTTACAGTCTTTAAGGTACTTGGCTTGACTTTTAGCTATAAGTGAATGAGATGTTAATGTATCTATTTTATTGCATATAAGGTCAATAACATCTTGCTATTGGTTAACTGTTATTTCTTTATCGCTGTTGTGAAACTTTTCTGTTAAGAATTATTTTAAAACAGTAATACCAGGACATAACGGACATCAATGTAAAATGCAGTCTACATTGTCTCTATTGCAAACATTTCCATCAAATCTCTATACTCTTTGTCAATTTTGAGAGCATCAGTTAACAACTAAACATTCTGATGATAGGTACAGACACAAACACTGTGGGTGCTACATAAAGTTCTTTTAAATTAATCAATATTAGTCTTTTTTTGCATGTGTTGCTTGTACCCTATACTGACAAAATCTTTTTTTCCAGGCATCATTCGTGTGTACTTGTCACTTTGATAAAAGCTATGAACAAGATCAATGGTTTCGTGGGAAAGCAACTTTCCTTTTTTTGATGATGGTTTATGCAAAATTCCATCTTTTTTTTTTTTTTCTTTTCTAGCTTCTCGTATAAGGTAATTAGAAACATTCTGTTAAAAATTACATTGAAAAATTCTGCAGACTTTGCGAGTGACCATGATTCTGGAGTTAGTGTTAATATCTGAATTTTTGCAGAGTATGATGTCACATTTTTTATTTTATCTTTTAATTAATTTAAAAGTGAAAATATATCGTCAATTTGGTTATCAATTGAAAAAGTTAGTGATGTACAAGATGGTGTCAATCCAATCATAGGATCAATATCATTAAGCTTTATTTATTTTGTTCGCTGTTGCTTCAGTAATTTGATCAAATTTTCTTTTAGCAGCTGGTAATCGTTTTGAATTGATTTAAGCTTAATAGGTGACACACCTATTAAGCTTAAATCAATTTTTGTTTTGGAATTGATTTAAGCTTAATAGATGACTATTGATTCGAGACTTTGATTGAGAGATGCACGTTGCTCTTGTTCAGACTCAATCCTACTATAATCCTATAATCCTACTATATATCATTTAATTCTAATTCTTTATTTATACTTAATACCCATAGTACCCTTATGTAACAACTACTGCATAATTTCCACCCAGGTACAGCAGCAATCTCTTTTGTTTTTAAAGTTATTGCCATTGATAGCGATATCTTCACATTTCCTATAAAAAAAAGGAAACAATCATTTCTAAAAACTAATATCAACTCACCATCATTGTAAAGAACAAATTAGTATAATTGTTAGTTTATAAATATACTTAATATTGCTTTAATTTATTTAATTACTATTTCAATCATTCTAATCATTTAAGTAATATAAAAATTGCCTTTTCTCGTTTTTCTTTCGATTTTCATGTTTTGTAAATAGATTACTGCATTTCTGAAATTTTCTTTTAAATGCAACTCCTAAGTATTCTCTATGATAACAGCAAACTGTTGTAAACAATTTTCCACAATCAAATAAACCAGCTCTCCATAATAACTCATGTTTTTCACCACTTGAAAACGTTGATAGATCTAAAAGACTTTGTCTTTTTGTTAAACCTTGCTTGTGGCAGTCAACATTACATTCTAATCCAATAGAACACTTTTAAACTTTTTAATCTATTCAAAAAATCTGATTTTGAAATATTTTACAAAACAAATTTTTTTAGAAATACCATTCACATTATTTAGTTTATAGAAAACTATTTATACAATTTATTTGTTTGGATGTGTCATATTATATGACTTCCTTATATATATGATAAAAGGTAATTAAATTTT